ATTCGCCGCCCAAATATTGTGCCGGATAGATACAACGGGAAAACCTCATGGAGAGATTTTTTGCACCACTTTGAAGCTTGTAAACTTGCTAACCAATGGGATGACAAACAGGCGAAAGTTTTCTTAGCTGCCAGTCTGCAGGGGACATCCGTGAAGGTGCTGAGTAACGGACCAGCTGGTGAAGAAATGACGTATAAAGACATAAAGGACAGACTAGAAAGGAGATTTGGTCCGGGGCAGTTGTCCGAAAATCATCTTATGGAACTTCGTTGTAGGCGGCAAGGCCCGAGAGAAACCTTAAGGGAACTTGGTCAGGCGATAAGGGAGCTGGCTACACTAGCCTATCCAGAGATTGCAGATGAGGGGAAAGACCGCCTAGCGAGAGGCCATTTTTCCGATGCAATTGAGGACCAAGCCATACGGGAGGGGATTTTTCGGGCGAGGCCGAATACGCTCGATGAGGCAATCAGAGCGGCCATGGCGACGGAGAGTTTCTTGAAAATAGAGGAACAACGGAGTGGTCATAGACAGAAACACGCTCGAGTTCTCGGTGGGGAGACAGACACGCTGCAGCATGGACTGGAGGGGATTGCCCATGATATTTACCGGAGAACAACTCAGGCCATACAAGAGGCGCAAGTCGAAACAAGAGCTTGGGTGACAAACCAGCTTGCCAAGGCAACATCTACGGACGGACTACGGAAGGAGAAACAAGACGAAGACAGTAACACCTATCATAGACGGCGATTTATGGCGGACATAGTGTGCTACAGGTGTGGTAGAAACGGGCACTTCGCACGAAATTGCAGAGCCACTGCGGAAGAGGGGAAGAAGTCGGGAAACGGGCTGCAGCCGACCCAGAGGCCCGAGGGAAAGCTGCCTGGAGACGAGGGCCAAAACATCAAGACGCACGACCAGTAACAGGCGAGCGCGCAGACAAAAACAAAATATTGCCAAAGGCGAGCGCAAAGGGAGGCATGTATGTTCCTGCAGTGATACGGGGGCAGTATGCGAAACTGCTAATAGACACCGGAGCCACGGACACATTCCTTTCATCCGCATTGTACTACAAAATCTCACCCGAACGAAGACCCCACCTTCAAGCAGATGGAACGCACATTAAGAATGCTGATGGTTCAGTTATAGCGACACTGGGCAGCGCCTGGATGGAGGTGCAGGTAGGAAAGACGACGCACGCTGTATATGCAACATTTGGAGCCTGTCCGACGATGGATGGCACCTTGGGCATGGATTTTTTGCTACCGACGTGCGGAACACTTAACTTCAGAACACTAGAACTATCCGTCAATGGCGAGCGGGTGCAGTGTAGTGATGGAATGGGGTCAGCTTTTTGTGCAAGAATCGTCATTGGACGGACTACAAGGGTGCCTGCTGGACACGAAGCAATTTTACAAGGGCACGTAACTGGCAAGGTGCAGGTTAACGGCATTGGAGTAATTGAGCCGGCTGACCGGAATGATATTTCCGACAGGGGAATGCTTGTAGCACGGACAGTGGTGACTGCAGAACAGGGTGTTCTGCCGATCCGTGTGTTTAACCCGGGTAGGCGTGAATGCGTAGTCCGTAGAGGGACTATGGCTGGCTACCTTACGCCTGTAGAGGTGGGCGAGATAGAGGAGACACAAGGCGCACATTTTCAAGCGGCTGGATCACAAGACGTTCCTGATCACCTTGCAGATTTATTTAGCAGATGCAAGCAGGGAGTGGACCAAAAATACCACAACGACATTGCTAAGTTATTGCAGAATAACCAAGATGTGTTCTCCAGAGGCGATGAGGACATTGGTAGGACAGACTGTGTCAAGCATCACATTGAAACGGGCGATGCGGCGCCTGTGAAGCAAAGACCGAGAAGATATTCGCCAAAAGAACAAGAGGAGATAACACGTCAAGTGCAGAAGTTGCTTGCTGGTGGACAGATAGAACAATCAGACAGTCCATGGGCATCCAACGTGGTGCTTGTAAACAAGAAAGACGGGACAAAGAGATTCTGTATTGACTATCGCCGCCTGAACTCATTGACAATAAAGGACGCATACCCAATACCGCGTATCGATGATACACTAGACACCTTGGCAGGTGCCAAGTGGTTTTCCACGTTGGATCTCGCTGCAGGGTATTGGCAGGTAGAGCTGGACGACGAGGCCAAGAAGAAATCAGCATTCGTGGTCCGCGGTGGTCTGTACTGCTGGCGGGTCATGCCATTCGGCCTCTGCAATGCCCCCTCCACATTTGAGAGGTTAATGGAGCGGGTTTTGGCAGGCCTCCAATGGGACATGCTCCTAGTGTATCTCGATGACATAATCATCTTTGCCAAGACTGTAGAAGAAGAGCTAAGACGCCTTGAGGTAGTCTTTCAACGCCTTCGAGGCGCGGGTTTGAAACTTAAGCCAAAAAAGTGTGAGTTGTTCAAGCAGCAGGTGTTGTACCTAGGGCATGTCGTATCAAGCGAGGGCGTTGCTACGGATCCAGAGAAGATACGGGTAGTACGCGACTGGCCGACTCCAACAACTGTAACCGAGGTGCAAAGTTTCATAGGATTGGCGTCATATTATAGGCGTTTCGTGAAGGGTTTCGCCGACATAGCCCGACCCCTGCATCGCTTGACGGAGAAAGGAAGGCAGTTTAAGTGGGACGACGATTGTGAAACATCGTTTCAACGGCTCAAGGGACTGCTCCAAGCGGCACCTATATTGGCTTACCCTAACCCTGAAGAAGATTACATCCTTGATACAGACGCCAGCAACGTAGGCATAGGTGCTGTTCTTTCTCAGTTGGTGGATGGACAGGAAAGAGTCATTGCCTATGGAAGCAGGACCCTGAGTAAACCAGAGAAGAACTATTGCGTTACACGCAAAGAGCTATTGGCAGTTGTGGTCTTTTTGAAGCAGTATAGGCCTTACATCTACGGACAGAAAATCACCATAAGAACTGACCACGGGGCACTTCGGTGGATACTCAACTTCCGTGATCCACTGGGCCAAATAGCTCGTTGGCTACAGGTACTCAGCGAGTACGATATCACCATAGTTCACAGGGCAGGACGTTCCCATGGAAACGCGGATGGTCTCTCGCGCCGGCCGTGTCCACAGTGTGGTATGGATGACAGAGATATAACAGCAAAGACCTATCCAGGCGACGTGAACCAAAGAGGAGACGAGACGAAACCCGTGGAAGAACCTACAGTACGAATTGTGACAATAGAACCAACAGTAGCACACGAATCATGGAGACGGGAACAGGAGGACGATCAAACACTTGGTTGGATCCTGAGGGCGAAGGCTGCTGCCACACCTAGACCAGAGTGGTCAGAGATTACATCAAGTTCGCCTTCAGTGAAGTCGTATTGGCTGCGGTGGGACCAGATAGAAATTAGAAAAGGACTCTTGTGTAAGAGGTGGGAGTCGGATGATGGCGGGCAGATAAGATACCAGGTTATTGTGCCAAAACCACATCGACAGGAGGTAGTGGACGAACTTCATGGGGGACTGACAGGAGGACACCTTGGTCAGAAGAAAACACTGGCAAAGGTGCGCCAAAGATTTTTTTGGTCTGGGATGAATGCCGATGTTAGGTCCTTTGTCAGGCAGTGCGACACCTGCGCCTCAAAGAAGTCGCCTACTAAACGTCGAAGAGCCCCACTGCAACAGTATGTAGTTGGTGCCCCAATGCAGCGTGTGGCACTGGACATCCTTGGACCTCTTCCAGAAACTGAACGTGGCAACAAATATGTGTTAGTCGTTGGCGACTACTTTAGCAAATGGATAGAAGCGTATCCAGTGCCTGACGAGAGAGCAGTGACTGTGGCTCAGAAGTTAGTTATGGAATTTGTGTGTAGGTTCGGAGTCCCCGTCGAGCTACATTCAGACCAGGGAAGGAACTTTGAATCCCAGGTGTTTGGAGAGATGTGCAAGGTTCTGGGGATTAAAAAGACGCGTACGACACCATACAACCCAAAATCGGATGGGATGATAGAGCGCTTCAACCGGTCCTTGCTCAGTATGGTTGCTGTGATGATAGAACCCCATCGACGTCAACGCGATTGGGATGAGAAGGTGGCACTTGCAACGTTCGCCTACCGGGCAACACCACACGAATCCACGGGGGAAACACCTAACATGCTAATGTTAGGCCGAGAGGTGCTCTTGCCGCTAGACTTGACCACTAGGGTTTCCTCAGACAAGGATGAGGGAGATGTCAGAAGCGATTATGCTTACGACTTAAGGGAAGGAATGCGATTTGCGCACGAAAAGGCCAGGGAGCACCTAAAAAACAGTGCAAGGCGGCAGAAGAAATACTACGACCACAAGACAAGTTCAACGACGCTAAGGACCGGGCAGTTTGTTTGGTTACACAACCCGAGTAAGAAAAAAGGCCTGTCACCTAAGTTGCAACGGAGGTGGGAGGGACCTTACCTTATTTTGAAGAAGCTATCGGAGGTCACTTTCAGAATTCAGAGGAACCGACGGGGCAAGAAGAAAGTTGTTCATTTCGACCGACTAAAGCCCTATGAAGGTCGCCCACTCGTGCCTTGGGATGGGACAGAACCACATGGAACACCTCGTCAACCACAGAGACAAGAAGGAGAATCAGAGATAGTAGGAGTGGAAAACGCTGAGGCGTTAGAAGAGACTGTATATGAGGAAGTAGAAGCGGAAGAAGCTAGGAAGCTTAGTGAACCAGGAAAAGAAATACCAGAAACCCTAGAAGTGCAAGAAGAAAGCCAAAGAGAGACTCTTGAACCTGTAGCCGGGAGAAGAAATCCACTTAGGCATCGCCGTAAACCACAACGTTACTTGTAACATCACACATAGAAAGAGGGACCTACGTAGGGTTAACCCAGGGAATCACCTCCTCTGAGGCGTGGATGTGTGAGAAGAGAGTGAATGAGTTGTGAAAAGTAGACACCCTAAAGGTTTAAGATAGCAGTGAGGACTAACCGTAATTTCATTCTGTAATTTGTCGACAGAGTCATCATCATGAGAAAATCACCGCCGAAGAAGACACCGAGGGACCTTGATGAAGCAGCGACAGTGGAGTGCCCCACCTGCCATGATGTGTTTCTGCACAAGCGCAGTTTGGAGCGACACATCAAGGTGGAGCATGGCCCACAAGAGTATTATTGGTGTGGGCAATGTGAGCACAGAAACAACAGACGGGATAACCTACGGGCCCACTATCGCGACTGTCACCCATCGGCACAGGGAGAAGTAAGCCAGATTAGAGCTGAGACGTACGAATCCAGAGAGCGTGCTAGGCGCTCTAAAATCGAAGAGTCGGGCCACCGCTCTCATGAGAACCACCCTACCACAGCCGAGAGGGATAATGAAGCCAGACGCGGGGCAGAGACAAAGTCAGGCTCTTCTGGACGGGGCAGTGACCACCCGGAAGCCGGTAATAACGAGAGAAAGCGTAGCCGAGCGACTGATGCCGGAGACAAGCCATCAAAGAAGCGCCTTCGAGGTGAAAGTGCCCCAGCAACAGTGTCAAGAGCACCAAATGAACGCCAGGTTGAGGAGGAGCGACCGGCCACAAGGGCGCGCAGGGTGAAGGCTCCTTCCACGATCTCTCGTGCCCCCGACGACGAGGCGATGGAGCTCTCCAGCTCTGAGAAAGCAAAGGAGAAAGCTGAGTCACCTACACAGGTGGTGGTATCTGTAGCAGCAGAAAAAAACCTCAGGAGGTGATTTGCTGGGCACGGACGTGCCGCAAGCGGCCACAGAGGTCGAGATACCCACAACTGCAGCGGATGGTGAGGATGAGAGTGTACCGGAGATAATGGTGTCTGCATCACCGAGTATGTGGGAGAATGAGGGGTCCGGGAGCCCACAGCGAGAATGGCGACCTGTCAGGCCAGGAGGAAAACCGTTAAGCATGATGAGGTTGATTCGTGGTCTGGGAGAAAATCCCGTGGAAGGCGCCGCAGAGACGGAGGGCCTGCGCATGCCATCCACACCCTTCCAGATCAACAAGCTGCTGCCTGGACAAATGGTCCGCTGGAGGGAGGTAAAGGAGACCTACCTATACAAGGGCGACGACAAGGTAATCAAAGGTGAAACGTCTCGAGAATTCGATGTTGTTTACTTACGGCCCTATGCTGAGCAAGTGGAGTCCAAGGGGAAAGAGCCGGGCACCGCACCACCTGGTCAGAGTAGACACCTGTGCAGGCTGGTGAGGACGGAGGGTGACCAAGCAGGAGCACCATACAAGGATAACGACCTAGTTGACGCCATGATCGGCAATGTTCGGCGGGTGGCAGAGACTGACGTACGGGAAGTCTACGTGGATGGAGAGAGAGTAACGAAGGACAAGACAAAGTGGGTCTTCGACTGCAGTTTCCAGGCGGGAGTTGCAGTGAACAGAAAACCATAGCTGTACAGGGACGTTTAAACTTTTAAGTTTGATGTTAACACCTTGAAGGACTTTGTTAGTGTTGCCGAGTTCGACCTTCTAGGTATTTTAGCGTTAGGCGTCAATGTTTCTAATAAAAGATCTCAGGTTTAAAGTCAAACCTGTAAAGGCTCTTATAAGGATAAGGTCTTAATGTTGTTTGACTAAAGTTTTATGAAGGAGTTTTTGTAAAAGACCTTAGGTTTAAAGTTAAACCTGTATAGGCTCTTGAGGATAGGGTCTTAATGTTATTTAACTAAAGTTTTATGAAAGAGATTTGTAAACTTTTATTTTTGTATAAGAAAGCCTTACGTAGTTTTCTGAAGTTTAAAGACTTTTTGAAATTAGGTCAGTATTGTTCTTGTTTAAACAAACACCTAAGAGACTTTAGGACACCTTACTTAAGGCGCAATATTTCTTTTAAAGTTTTGCTAAGCTGAATGGTCAAGGGGACTGACCAGCCTTGAGGTGCGGCTGTGTAACGAAATATTGCTTCGCGCACTGGGCTTCCGTAGCTGCTGAGCGCTGGTGCGCGGGCTGCATTCCGTGCGACAGTGCGCGTCGCTGGTGCTCTGCGTGCAGTGTATATAAGCGCGCTGCACGTGCATCGCGGGCGTCTTTCCGCTGCTTGCTCTTGCTCCGTGCGGACGAAAGCAAGTACGCTCTGCCGTTGCTCGCTGGCTGTTGGATTGGCGGGATTAGGCTGTACCCCGTGAACCCTAGTTGCGGGGTGAGTAGCTGCGTCTTAGGCTTATCGGTCCCGATGTCTATTGTAGTTACCCTATTGGTGATTGTTTGTGATTCTTAATTATAAAGTCCCCAAGAGATAATCATCATTGGTGTACGAATCAACCCTGTAATTAGCGCCTATATAGGAACCTGTGTATTACTTTGAATAAATCAACCAGTTCAAGTATATAAGCCTGGTGTGGTGCATAATCGTTGACGTGTCTACCCTTGTGTGGTGAGCGTGTGTGCGTGGTGTGCAGACCTAGGCGCCTGGAGGTAGACTTCCCCCAAACGAGTCCGCCCCTCAGGCCTCTGCGGTTACCGCTCATCGTGGAGGCCGAAGCCCATTATTTAGTCAGCGGCAGACGCCGCCTGGTAAAGTCCGCTACAATACCAAAAGAAATTGTCTTGAGCCCGTTTCTCAATAAAATATCAAAGTTCCAATAAACGTTTTAACAGGGCATGATATAACCAAGTTTAGTGACATGGATGCCCGTTGGACACGATTATAGTGATCATCAAGAGGAATGTCTGTTCACAGGCTGAGCAAGTCGTCGTTCTAACATTCTTAAGTACATTACAAGGCAAGTTGAAGAAAAACAACGTATGAAGTTAAATTCTTGTATTATTTTGTTTAAGTACAGTCAACCAATCTTGAAAAAACTTTCAATGTGTGGTGGTTGCCTTTTTGGAACAATGATATTATTATCAGGGTAAGCAGATAAATTTAGGTCTGCCTGCATGGTAACAAGCTTAACCAGTCATCATGCTAATAAGACGTGTATATTACAAGGTAAGTTTAAGCAACTTCTGTTTACTAGTATTTGTATCATAAAGTACAGTTTCAACAGATGACTTTAAAAGTGTTTACTTGGTCCTATACTTAGTTGCTTGTGGAGCATGACTATAAGCTGGGTTGTCTGTTTACAAGCCGAGCTAGTCATCATACTAAAACTCTTAAGTACATGTAAATAACAAGGTAAGGCGAAGCAAGAAAACTTCTCATGTTTCCTAGTAATGGTATCATTATATAAAGTACCGTTTCAACAGATCATTTAAAAAGTGTTTACAGTGGTCCTATTCTTGGTTGCTTGTGGAACACTTGTGGGTTGGTTGTCTGTTCACAAGCCGAGCTAGTCATCATATTAAAACTCATAAGTACATGTAAATAACAAGGTGAAGCAAGAAAACTTCTCATGTTTCCTAGTAATGGTATCATTATATAAAGTACCGTTTCAACAGATCATTTAAAAAGTGTTTACAGTGGTCCTATTCTTGGTTGCTTGTGGAACACTTGTGGGTTGGTTGTCTGTTCACAAGCCGAGCTAGTCATCATACTAAAACTCTTAAGTACATGTAAATAACAAGGTAAGGCGAAGCAAGAAAACCTCTCATGTTTCCTAGTAATGGTATCATTATATAAAGTACCGTTTCAACGGATCCTTTAAAAAGTGTTTACAGTGATCCTATACTTGGTTGCTTGTGGGACACTTGTGGGTTGGTTGTCTGTTCACAAGCCGAGCTAGTCATCATACTATAACTCTTAAGTACATGTAAATAACAAGGTAAGGTGAAGCAAGAAAACTTCTTATGTTTCCTAGTAATGGTTTCATAAAGTACCTTTTCAACAGATCATTTAAAAAGTGTTTACAGTGGTCCTTTACTTGGTTGCTTGTGGGACACTTGTGGGTTGGTTGTCTGTTCACAAGCAGAGCTAGTCATCATATTAAAACTCTTAAGTACATGTAAATAACAAGGTAAGGCGAAGCAAGAAAACCTCTCATGTTTCCTAGTAATGGTATCATTATATAAAGTACCGTTTCAACGGATCATTTAAAAAGTGTTTACAGTGGTCCTATACTTGGTTGCTTGTGGAACACTTGTGGGTTGGTTGTCTGTTCACAAGCCGAGCTAGTCATCATACTATAACTCTTAAGTACATGTAAATAACAAGGTAAGGTGAAGCAAGAAAACTTCTTATGTTTCCTAGTAATGGTATCATAAAGTACCGTTTCAACAGATCATTTAAAAAGTGTTTACAGTGGTCCTTTACTTGGTTGCTTGTGGGACACTTGTGGGTTGGTTGTCTGTTCACAAGCCGAGCTAGTCATCATATTAAAAACTCTTAAATACATGAAAATAACAAGGTAAGGCGAAGCAAGAAAACTTCTCATGTTTCCTAGTAATGGTATCATTATCTAAAGTACCGTTTCAACAGAACAATTAAAAAAGTGTTTACAGTGGTCCTATACTTGGTTGCTTGTGGAGCACTTGTGGTACATGTAAATAACAAGGTAAGGCGAAGCAAGAAAACTTTCGCTGAAAGTTTCGTGAAAGCTTTCGCTTTTGCAGCACTTTTCAATGAACGGGATTTCTTTTTCTCCAGCACATGACTATCAAACTTGTCTTGTAGTTCCTTCTTGCGTTCATCGCTTGATCTATGAAAGGTGTTGCACAAACCACACACATCTTTCTTAGCATGGTGGAACTTAAGGTTGAATGATTTAAACACCTTCTTATAGAAAGACATGGATGCCCCATTAGGATGAGTTTTTTTGTACATATTATACATGATCGTGAAGTTGAGATCAGGAGAGAGATACTGGCACTTGGACTTAGCCCTACAATAATGGGACTCCATCCTTGGAAATTGATCAATATGGGCTTTCACCTGCTCCCTGAGTGACCTGTCCCTCGCAAACTGCTGTCTACCACCACGACACTCCCCTTCAAGTACACCAAACTTGTCTCTCTTGTCAAAAAGGGTGCGGACTACACAAAACGAAATACCAAGGGTACTGGTAAATAATTTCCGACACACTTGCCATTGTTGAGCATCCTCATGTACATGTAGCTTCGGCAGATAATACAAATACTTATTTTGTTCCCCATCTTTGTTGACAGATACATATCTTGTGAGCCATTCACGTTGTTTTTGCAAATCACCCATGTTGTAATAGGCTTCTCTGATCTGTTGACGATGTTCAATAGTAATGCTAAGGCAATCCAGGCCCCTTTTTCGGCAATGCCAGCAGTTACTCTCTCCTAAGTTACCAAGCTTGGTAGGTACACATTTGTTTAATTTTTCAGTTGTGTAAGCTTTCCCTCTGTTTCTGTTGTGCTTAACTGCTGCATTTTTACTACTATTTCTCTTGACTCCATCTGAAATAAGTGGCCTTCCCTCACTATCAACTAGAAAGTCACTGGGCTCAACAACAATTTTGAATCCAGGTGGAGAACATTGTAAACCAGACAGGCTGGCTGATAAAGAGAGTGATGTTATGTGGTCCTGTCCAGGTGACACAGGGGCACATCCACCAGATGACAAATTGGAAGGAGAAAACTGTGGACCAGCAGCCAAACCAGCTGAAGAAGACAGCGATGTTAGGCGGGCGGGCTAAATACCCCTGGTTCATTTACCGTGGGACGGTATTGTTATTGAGGAAGTGTGGGACCCTTCAAGCCAAAGCGGGAGACGGTCCACGCATGAACGCACACGGTACAGCCGTGCATGGTGACGGTTTGCAGTGGGGCTTGTATGTTTAGGGCAGACAAAAGATCAGAGGAT